ATCCACTTTGAGCTGCTCCCCTATGGCCAAACACTCAACTCGGACCTATACTGCCAACAACTGGACCGCTTGAAGGCAGCACTCATGCAGAAGAGGCCATCTTTGGTGAACAGAGGCAGAATTGTCTTCCATCAGGACAACGCTAGGCCACATAAATCTTTGGTGACGCGCCAGAAGCTCCGGGAGCTCGGATGGAAGGTTCTTTTGCATCCCCCGTATAGTCGGATCTCGCACCAAGTGATTACCCCCTGTTTCTGTCCACGGCGAACGCGCTTGGTAGTCTGAAGTTGGCCACAAGAGAGTCCTGCGAGCTTCAATAAGAGGGGCATTATGAAGTTGGCATCTCGTTGGGAACGCGTCATTGAATGAATCGCATTATAGTAACCTATTTTATGAACAATTGAAAATTCAATAAAAGTGCCGCAGCACTTTTTTACAACGTAATATATCATTAATGGAGTCGGAAACGGTTTTCCTTTTATATACTTTTCACCGAACACAATATATCGTTTTACTATACGAGTAGCTAATATTATAAGAAAGGACGCTATAGTCGAGTGCCTCGACTATCAGATACCCGTTACTCAGCTAAAGGGAACAAAGGGAAATGGACACATAAAAGCAGCAAAGCAAGATACCCGCGAATTCAACTTACTTACTTTTCCCCAAATTCAAATATACCCTTTTATGTTAATGAAAACAGCTCATTTGCTGCATGCGGTGTGCAATCTCTGTTGAATTGCAAAATATGGATTATTAATTGGCTATAGCTTTTTAATAAGTGGTCCGATTTTAATAATTTGTAGATAGGTACTGATAGTAAGAACAAACTCTCACTTAAATTTTTTAAAAATATTTTAAAATGTGGCACCCTGGTAAAACAAACTAACGATGCGCAGGAAGCCCAAGAATCTGCTTGCCAGGTCCCAACACTCTAGCTCTTACGAGTATAGTTTCCGAGATCTCTGCGTTCATCCGGACAGACGGACATGGCTAGATCGACTTGGTTAGTGATGTTGATCAAGAACGTATTTAATTTATGGGTTTGGAAACGCTTCGTTTTACCTGTTACATACTTTTTCGCAAATACGATATACCCTTTTACTTTACGAGTAACGAGTATCAAAAAATGTAAGTTACATTTTCGTTATACAATTAATTCTATCCAACAATAACAGAATTGACCGTCAATCGCTTGGGACCGTTACAGTCATTTTATATTGAAAGCTGGTGTTATTTAGTATTCAATCAATATTTATTTTTTTAACACAACGAGTTTTTTTGGTGGTAGCAGTAACTTTATTCTATATTTTTTACTTCCCATTGATATATATTTATCAACGCTTTCACAGCATATCAAGCATATATCTGCAGTTCTACAACTTTTCTTGTCATATTATGCCCGCTGCGTCGCTGTAGATTTTCATTTCCATTTTTCCATCAAAACGAGCCCAGTTATAAGTTTTCCCTCCCTCCCTGCAGCGTATGCAACACTTTTCCCGTTACTCAGCTAGCTAATTTATCTCCAGATCAAGAATGTATATACTTTTTAGGGCCGGAAACGCTTCCTTTTGCTGCTACATACTTTCCCCGAATACAATATACCCGTTTACTCTACGAGTAAGGGGTACAAAAATGAGAAAATATCAAATAATATGAGAACTATGGAGGGTGGTGTTGAAAGTGTTTCCGAATGCACGAATATGAACGAATATTAATGATGACCTGGGGAAGCGAACAAAAGGAGTGCAGAGACTGAAGGCCCCAAAGCGGCCTACAAATCAGGGAACAACACTGAACATAATTAACTATGCCAGCAATTACTCTTGCAAGGAGGTCAACCTGACACGTGCCTGCTTCACCTTTAGTCTGCCTGACGGCATTTGTTTTTGACAAATTATTGCGAGCCTTAAATTGAATGCAAATCATTGTTCAACACACAGCCTAACCCCATCAATGCCCATCAATAATCGTTGACCTCTTTGAGTGGGCCAAGAACAAGGTTGTGTCTTGGATTTCGTCATCATTGTCATCAGCTTAGCTGCAGCCATTTCAATTCGCCTAAAAGCTACGGGAATCCTTTCAAGAATCACCAGAAAAAGTCCGTTTCAAAGCCTGTCTCTGTGCTTTTTCTTTTTGTGCTTACTGCCAAAAACGTTTGTCGCTGCGAATTGTCGACAAGTTTTTCTTGAACCCTTTGTCCTTGCAACTTGGCATTGGTATAATGAAAGTCTTCGGTAATGAAAACATGTCCGGCCATTGGAAATAAGCCAAAAAATTTTAATAGCAAAAAATGCTTATAAATGAAATTAGGTAAGTGACATTGAATTCTATATGACTAAGTGCTATTAAACCTACTAGTATTCCAGAGTGCACTCAGTACGTTTCGTGACGTCTTCTTGGTTATATGAAGGCAATTGTTTAAAAAGTTTATTGATGCTAGGGAATTTTGTGGTGAACGGAAGAAAACTTAAATGAAAAAATAATACACTATTAAAACAAGAACCATTCTTTAAAGGCGAGTTAAAAAAATGTACCTGTCTGAGGCTGTATCAAATTATAAACCAATTAAGTATTTAAAATTAACAAAAATATAAATAAAGATTTTATTCTTAACTATTTAATCATTGTCATGTCCTTTTAATGAATTTGGCGATTCGGAGAAAACAAGTAATCGATTCCATTTATATACTATATATATACTCAGGGTATTCCCTATACTGTTAAATTGCTGAGTTGTTCAATATCGGTCAGCTGTTAATCAGCTGTTCCATACAAAGTCAACTTTCAGAAATTTCAGCAATTCAACAGCCTCGGAACTCTTGAAAATTTTGTTGAATTGCTGAAAAATTGTTCAAATCGGACCATTCGTTAAAATGTTATAGGCAATAAAAGTGTTCAAACTAGGGTATAGTCGCTTTGCTGCTTTAATATCTCCATCTCCCTCGCACTCCCCTTAGTTTCATAGTCGATTTAAAATTTAGTATAAAATCAACGACGTGTTGGACAGAATAAGGTAAACATAGCTTGGTTTTGCGATCTGAACAGATCAGAATAGTTGTATTTTCATAAGTGAACTCTTATTTAGAAGACTAAGAGTTTAAGAGAAAAGGGTGGAGCAAACGGCCGTTACCGGACCATTGATTAGATTGTCGACTCCATCAAGTCTTAGGAAACTGATGTCACTCCTTCATAGCGCCCCAGTGATATCATTCCATAGTAACGATATAGCCCTGAAAAAATGGGAAAGAGCGGAAGCCTTTAGGAGACTCCATTGCCGAAGGTTCCAACGGGCCTAACACACCAACCGTGGAGCGATTGCCAAGTTAGTTCTTAACGGAACCTTAATCTTAATAATATTTGCTGCATGTTTTTCAATATGTCGCCTATTCACTGGTAATCACTGTTTCCGAAGACAAGATAAAGTGTATCTAAACACTTTGGATTCTACTTGTGCAGTGCACTGAAGAAGGCGTCTCCAACATAAATGTACACATATGTATAATATCATATATTCTTGATCAAAATCACGAGTCGATACAGCCAGCTGTTGGTCCCCGCACTCGTCGGCGCTCGTAGGCAAAGCGCATCCAAAGGGTGAGTACGTGCAATTTCAGTTGCTCTGAAAAATATGCGAAACTAAATACAATTCGAGTACCAGCATGAGGAATGTTTTCAGCGCCAAATGTTTATTTGATTGTTATTAGCAAATTTATCAAGGATGAAATTTCCATTAGGCAAGCGTAGTGAGAATTAAATAATGACTATTATGGGCCAACAGTGACAAGTAAGAACCGATTAGACCCTTTTATTTATACCACCTTCCTCGCATAAGGTTTTTTGAAAATATTCATTTTTAGGCAACAATTTTGGGAGGGGGATGCGGTTTCAAATGACTTTTTCTATAAGAAGGACATAAGCTGGAGGTTGGTCAGTTCCTTATAAAAATAGCAATATTTAGTTTTAAGATGAGTTCCATTGCTGAGTTCCGAAAGGATACTTTGTTCAACAACGCACCAACAACAATTTTCTAATACATTGCACGACTTTGCAGTCCGTATGCATTTCCTTCTCGAAATAATCCCGAAATGCCAAGTGCAAAAATAATTTAAGCTCGTATAACATATTGAATAAAACCACTGAAATGTGTGTAGTTAGCAAAGTAATATCATCAATGATATTATAATTTAAAAAAACTCAGCGGTCAAGCTCAGTGATATGAATAATGAGTAGGTACTTTTTGCGCCACAACATCTTTTTGAAAAGCGGCGATTTTGGATCTCGGTTTTTGGTTCGGCGGTTGCGCTTTCTTCAGCATGACCAATATCATACTCATCAGGCGCTTTGCGTTTGCATTTTTGTATTTGAGGCAAATGCGATGCAATCGATATTGATGGTTCCCCAACCGAATAGGAGATCCGCTTGAAGTTACACATACCAGCATGGAATAAAACATATTTATCGCTTTTTCAATCCCTTTTTCATCTTCCTCATCGACAGGAAACGCTGCATCAAAAGCATCAACAGTCAAGTCGTTATCCAATTCATTTTCTTCATCCTTATCAATTATAAAATCAATTGAATTTAGCAACTTCTCGATCTCCCCATCGGAAAAACATGATAGCTTATGTTGTCGTTCCATGCAATTGAAGCAATTATTTAAACCTAAATGTTTAAAAGAGAATAAAATAATTTGTTTTACCTGAACGTTCGTAAATGCCGGTGATGGTGAAGAACATCCACATGTGGATACCGGCGAGGAGACAATGTCGAAGCGCCGCCGCTTAACTCCAGTTGCGCTGACCTTAACTGACTGTGTCAGCTCAGTTGGACATGATGTCCAAGCTAACAACAATGACTGAGCATTTTGTAAAATCGGATACTTTGCAAAAGGAACACACTGAACAAAAAAAGCAAGACATTGAATTAAAATTGGTCCTTATAGGAAAATGCGCACAAGTGTTGAGCAAATTGGAAAAATATTTAGAATTATGATCGATTTATTTTTTAAATAAGAGGAGCTGGAGCATTTTCACCGCGTACGGATGGTCCACTAATGCTATCTTCCATTTCTGATTCAACTGCGGCCTCTTCAATGTAGTCAAAGTGAGTGCCTCGACTTGCCAATTTCCCTTTTTACAAATGTTTTGCAGTGCACAGCAGACATTAACAATGTGGCAACAATATATGGGCTCATAATTCAATCCTCTTTGCAACGAAAACGACTTTAAAGGACATTAATAGTGCGCTCGATAATATTCTTTAAGTTAAATTGATGCTGATGCGTCCCATTCTGTGAGTTCCTGTATGGAGTCAATACGAAGCTCTCTGCAGCGTACCAGAATCAGCTAGAACAAGATGTCCGTTCAATGTCGTAGACAAATCTTATCTTGCACTGGAGTGATTTCAGATGAAAGAGTCATGGCAGGACCGAGGATGGGTGGAAACAATGGCGATTATCTCCACGTTATAATTGCAAACCTATAAAATTTAATTGTTTTACATAGACATAACGGATTATATATTTAACTTACCACCTTGGCGTTTAAGATGTAGTATCCTTTCCTAATACAGAATACTGAGTAATTTAGTATTGGCTTCTGAATTTTGTTGTGAGTTTCATCCACACAAGTGTTCTCGAGATGTCTGCATTTGACGGTCGGTCATATGTATGGAAATTTCATCTTGACACAAAAGCCTGTCCATTAAGGGAATAAATAAATGAAGAATTAAAAAAAAAACTGCGTCCAATGTTAATGTGGTGGTCCTTGGCAACTGACAACTGGTAGCAGCCAGTAGCTAGGAATTGCATTGTTGCAGTCAATTGCAAAATCATTTTGAAAGTACCTTTATTCACTCTAAACGACTTCGCGAAGCTAGGAAAGAACCGTTGGTAATGGTAATTTATATAATAATAACCAAAACAGCTGTTTAAGGCCTAGTATTCAGATCGGCTCTGAATTTTACTAGTCAAAAAATCTTATTCTTCGTAGTGTGACCGTTTTCAAAGCTCTCCCGCAATGCATGTAGCATGGTCTTACTGTCAAGAAGCTGGGTTTGTGTTGTTGACGATTTTGAACAGACGACTCTGCTGGTGCACTAAGAAAAAAATATACATGGAATGTTCAACGATTGTTTTTATTTATGCTAATTAATAGTTTAAGAATTCCTTATCGTGTGCTTCGCCATCATCTCCTCGTGATGTGCAGTCCAGCTCCGATTCGTAGTATACCGTAGACATTGAGTGAGTGGGTGCTGGATTGTAAGCACCTGGTATCGCCTCGATTTACTGGTCGGTAACGTCATGGCTGCGCACCCAGAATCAGCACGGCTTCGCGAAGTGACATCTCGAGAAATTCTTTGAGGAGGCCCAAGAGACAGGAAAACACGACTCGTCATTGTCCGAGGTCGCAGGCGCTGGAGGAAGAGATTGCAGCGTTTAGACATTTTTTTTGCGGAAGCAGATCAAGATTTTCGGAGCTTGATGGAAGGCGGATTTTATAGAGCAAAAACTCTCCCAAAGATTTACGAGCTGAAAATCTAGGAGAGGCTATATTGAAAGCAATCGGCTTTCGCCAACATCTCGATAAATTCATGCCATATTAAAATCCCTCCCTGACACCGAACCTTTTAGCGGTTGTTATGAAGATTGCCCCGCCCTTAAGGACATGTTTACTGCTGCTTTTAGCAGTCATCCTAAGCTCAGGTCCGCTCAAATTTTATATTACTTAAGAATTAAAATTTATACCACTTAAGAAATAAAACCCGAGGGGAAGCTAGTACTATCGTCAAACAGTTCCTCCTGTGTGTTAAAACTTTGTTCCCGCCTGTGTAGCCTTGTGAAAGCGATACGAAAACATAAGGTTGTTGGTGGACACTCAGATTCATTTGTTGACCTATCAAGTAGTTTTTGCTCGAAACACTTGGTTGAGGTCAATTTGTTTTACCAACGGCATATCTAAAACAATTCTTATTAATATTACTGTTAATACATTGCCTGCACGATAAGAGAAATCAACTAGAATTTTTGTCGTGACGTCACACGACGAGTTCGTCACCTTACCCTACACTCCTTGTATATTAATATTAGGTCACTATTTTTATACCCGTTACTCGTAGAGTAGAAGGGTATACTAGATTCGTCGGAAAGTATGTAACAGGCAGAAGGAAGCGTTTCCGACCCGATAAGGTATATATATTCTTGATCAGGATCACTAGCCGAGTCGATCTGGCCATGTCCGTCTGTCCGTCTGTCTGTCCGGATGAACGCTGAGATCTCGGAAACTATAAGAGCTAGGCTATTGAGATTTGGCGTGCAGATTCCTGAGCTTCTTACGCAGCGCAGGTTTGTTTCAGCAGCGCGCCACGCCCACACACCGCCCAAACCTGTGACGCCCACAATTTTCATGCTAGATAAAAAATTTTAACTGAAATGTATTGGTCTCGTAAATACCTATCGATTGATCCAAAAAAAAATTTGACACGCCCACTCTAACGCCCATAACGCTTAAATCTGTCTATCGCCGGTAGGTGGCGCATTTTAGTGCTTGCTGCTTGCTTATCTCCATTTCCCTTTGGTCCCTTTAGCTGAGTAACGGGTATCTGATAGTCGGGGTACTCGACTATAGCGTTCTTCCTTGTTACTTTTGTGTACGTAAAGAAAATCTAACATGGCTATTTAAATAAAAACATCTCAAACATCTCTAATTTTCAGTACCTGCTAAAGTATTATTTTTTCCGCAACTGCAAAATAAATATGTATTTTAACATGTAATAAAAAATACATAAATAATGTGTGGTATATTTTTCTTAATAATTTTTTACAACAATATTAAATAAATCAATTGGCCAAAAACAAAAACTTGCAAATATCTACATTGTAAGCTGTGTAATTCCAGTGCATAATGTTATTTAGTATATTTAGTGCAATCTAGTATTAATCTATTTAGTTTTAAGAGATATTGTACATAATAATGAACGGGCAAAGTACAAATAAGCGACGCCGATGAAGAAGAGCAAAAAAGCGCAACCAAATTTGAAAATTTTAAATAAAAACTGATAAGTTTACAACATAAATATATGTCGTAAGTCTAAAGACTTCAGGTTTCAGAAGAAGTTAAATAATCATTACATAAATATATTTTTGTTGTATTTTCATGCCTTAAAAAATATAAATAGTTCAAACTGAAATCCAAAAACAAAAAAATCATATATCCCTTAATCAGCTTAAGGGAGAGGGACGGAGATATGGTTAAAGCTACTCTGCTTCTTTCACTAACATACCTAGCCCATAGCAACACCTATTTACTTCTTCTATAGCGCCACTTGGCCTACAGCGCCAACTAGCCTACAGCGCCACTAGCGGCTTGGTGACGTATTAGTGAAAACAGCATATTTGCTGCATGGGGAGTGCTATCTCGATTGAATTGCAAAATGTTAAAAAATGTGGGCGCTAGACGGGTTTAGTTTTATAGTCGTTTGGGGCGATACAAAACAAATTGGCCCTGCGCAGGAAGCCCACAAATCGGAATGCCAATTCCCAATACTGTAGCACTTAAATTTTCCGAGATCTCAGCGTTCATACGGACAGACGGACATACGAACATGACTAGATCGACTCGGCTATTAGTCCTGATCAAGAATATATATACTTTTTGGGGTCGGAAATGCTTCCTTCTACTTTCCGACGAATCTATTATACCCTTTTACTCTACGAGTAACGGGCATAATAAAGTCAATCGGATAGCTACAGCTGGAGATATACATAGATTCTCAAACAGAGAATCGATTTAAAATTTGGAGTTTTTTGCCGACTTATACAAATTCGAACTAAAAATAATTTGTTTTTGGCCAAATCCGTTTCAGGCAATCAAAAGTTTGACCCAAGAAAGGGTGTTTGGTTTGTAAAAGAAGGGCCCATGTACACTATTACTAAGATAAACGAGTAAAAATACCCTAAAGTTAAGTATCATTACCCTAAAATTTAGTAGAATTACTCTACAATTTATAAAATTTCTTTACCTCAAATTTAAGGCAAGCTTGTCTTGAAGTCATAAATAGGTTGATTTCTTTCACTTAATGGTTAATTTTATGTTGAGTGCAGTTGCAGGTCACTTCATTGTTTAATAAATAAGAAATTAAACATGCCAACTTGTGGGTCTTTATAAAGCGGTCAAAATACCATTTCACAAATGTAAGTGAACTCTTAAGAGAACATAAATTTCCCTGCTACGCTTAACCATTATTTAAGAGCCAAATACGTAAAGAGAGAAAATTTACTAAGCGAAAATTTCCCGTCAAAAAAGCTTCATAATATATTAACACAAAACTCAATACTAAAAACTAGGTAAGGAATAACACGTTTTTAAATAAAGTAAGAAGTTGTTAAAAAGAAAATAATTCTACAATGCAGAAATAACATAAATACATTTCGAACTGAATCCTCCTACCGCTTAAAAAATATACTCATACCTTAAACTTACTTTATGTACATAATTTTGGCATCAATGGAAAGCCCATTTAAATTCCGTTTGAATGATATAAGACTTTTCTTAACCCATTCAGTACTTTTTGAAAATGTCAAATTTTTGTGAAAATCTACTTTTAAAACTTTTTTCCACGTCTTAAAAACTGAAATTTTTTGATGCTAAAAGTTTTTTTAAACAAAACTCATAGTAACTCCAAAAAGAATTTTTCAAAATTCGTTTTGGTTATATGTTTTTAAGACTTTTGGCAAATGTTGAGAAGTTTGCATTCGAGCCATACTTTTATATATGGGCATTTCCAGGGGTCACGTATAAAAAAAGAAAATAAACGTTTTCTGAATTTTTTTTTGCTATTCGATAGCATTTTGTAAGCTCTTTACTTAGTGTAAATTATGGGGTTTATTGAGCTATTATTTTCATAATATTGGCAAAAAACATGCGTTCGCAAACGTACGCAAAATGGAAGTCGACTTGGGCTTAATCTAGTAAAATGCAAAAATCTGCGAATTGGGACGGAATATTCTAAAGCAATAATTTTACTTTGAAAATGGATTCATTTAGCTTTCTGTCGAGTCTGTTCCCAAGGAATTGTCTCCATTTGTTTTTTTTCATTGAATAAAGTTCCGGTCGCGAACATACGATTTTTACATGTTGTTTTATTAAAAGTTAATTGATCATTTTTTCACTCTCTTTGGATTTTTTTCTGCTTATTAGATTGCAATAAAGAAATTTGGTAGAAAAAGTGCAAACAAATCATATGTTTTCCTTGCGAAATAATTAAACATAAAAATGCCTTCAAAAGTAGCTAAAAGTGAGTAGCTATTATGAAAATATGGCCATTTATTTATGAAAACACGCAAAAAATACGATGATTATGAAGATTTTTTGTTTCCTGCTTGACCATTTGCCGGATATGCCCATATATTTATACTTTTTTCAGACATTGTACATTCAAAAAATCATAAAAATAAAAGAAAAACAACTTTTGAAAATATACTTTTTTTCCCCAAATTTAAAATTTTTCTGTTACTGTATTCTTATAGCCATTGAAAAGCAAGATAAGTTTATGATCTATAGGCTACATAACTTTGTAAGTTTTGGGATTTCTTTTAACTTATAGGGGTTTAGTGATTCCAATTTATTATTAATAACTAAGGGAACTTTTAAGGGATCTTTAAGTCCTAAATCAAAAAAAATGATTGAAGGGATGAGAAAAAAATATATCTTTAAAACAAATAAAAACAGTTTGCATTCTCAACAAGAAAAACTATATGATACCTTCTCGCCCAATTACAGCACGTTTTCTTTGAAACG